CCCTCCCTCTCTTTCTCTCCTCTCTCTTCTCTCCATTCTCTGTTCCCTACTCTCTTTCACTCTTTCTCATCCTGGGTTCACTCTTTCTCCCTCACCCCCTCTTCTCCTCCCTATCTCTTCCTTTTCTCCTCCCCCCAACCCCGCTCCTACAGAGCCCACCTTGTGCTGGCCTCCCCACACATCCCGTCTTTTAGTCTTGATTCCCTAATTTGGCCCCTTAGCCCTGGTGTTTCCCTTCTCCCAGTCTACACAGTCTCATATCCAGCTCAAAAGCCACCCATGCTGACCGTACCCTCCCTCCCCTGTTCAAAGCCTGCGGCTGTAATCATCCACAGCATCACACCAGCGAGAGCAAGGGTCAGAAAGCTTCAACTTGGCCGAGGTGTGGTGGCCGCACCTGAAATCCCATAGGAGGGTGGCAAAGTTGAGGCTAGCCTAAGCTCCGCAGAGAGGGCTGTCTCAAACAGGGAAGCTGCAGGCTGTAGCGTGGTTCTAGAACCTGAGCCGATTTCCTGCTTCCTGGCTTTGCTTGCAACTTCCTAAAGGGACTGAGATTTCTTAATGTGGACGATCTTTGGGAAATCTTTTTCTCTTCTTGTGGTCCAAAGCACACAACAGAACATTGGGCATCTTCACAATTTTGAAATGACCTTTCACAACAGCCAGTCACAGATCCACTGTCCTAGGACGGATTTCTAGAAGTGTTTCATCCTGTAAACTGGAGTTTCTCTCTGGACCAGATCCCCCAATCTCCTGGCAGCTGCCTGCCTCTCAGTAGGAGTTGGGAGTTATAGGTACCTTATACATGGACTCGGGAAGTGGGTGTCTTTTTTGTTACTGGCTTTATTGCACTCCGTGGCTAGGACTCTGTATCAGGTTCTTAGACCCTGAATTGGTCAGTCCTCAAGTTTCATTGACGTAGCACACAGCCAGGATTTCTTCCTTTTAAGACTGAGTAATATTCCACTGTGTGCTTTTGTCACATTTCCCTTATCGGCTCATCTGGTGATGGACATTTAGGCTGCTTCCATCACTAGGCAACTGTGAGTATGCTTCGGGAAATGTGTAAGTGTATCTCTTTGACCTAGATGTATATTCACAATGGAATGGTTGGGTCATATGGTTATTCTATGTTTAATTTAGGGAGGGAGGTTGTTTTTGTTTTTTGAGACAGGGTTTCTCTATGTAGCTTTGGAGCTTGTCCTGAACTTACTCTGTATACCAGGCTGGCCTCAAACTCACAGAAATCTGTCTGCCTCTGCCTTCCAAGGGCTAAGAGTAAAGGAGTGAACATTTATCATTTGTATATAGGCGGGTTACTGATTTTTTTAAGTTAATGTTTTTTGTTTGTTTGTTTTGAGACAGGGTTTCTCTGTGTGTCTTTGGTGCAGACCAGGCTGACCTCGCACTCACAGAGATCCACCTGCCTCTGCCTCCCGAGTGCTGGGGTTAAAGGCGTGTGCCACCACCGCCCAGCTTTTTTAGTTAATTTTGTATTCAACTACTTCACCAAAGTTGTTTATCAGCTGTGGGAGTTCTCTGGTAGAATTTTTGGGGTATTTTATCATATCATCTGCAAATAGTGATAGACTTCTTCCTTTCCAATTTGTATTCCCTCGATCTGCTTCATTTGTCTTGTTGCGCTAGCAAGAACGGCAAGCACTAGATTGACTAGATATGGAGAGAGTGGACAGCCTTGTCTTACTTCTAATTTTAGTGGAATTTCAGCCGTGTGTGTGTGTGTGTGTGTGTGTGTGTGTATGAGTGTGTACAGTCTCCCCCTTACCGCTTGTGACAGAGCTGTCTACTTCCCACTGCGTAGCATTGGCTACCTACTGAGGGCTCCCCTCCGGCTCCCCTCCTCTTTTCTATTCATCTGTTTTTATATCAGTTGATTATCATAGATTTATAATATGCTTTGAAATTAGGAGACCCAAGGCTCCCAGTTTTCTTTCCTTCGAAGATTATCTTGGCTATTTGGAGTCCTTTGACATTTCATTTTTATAAGAATTTAAGATTTGGAGGCTGGAAAGATGGCTTAGAGGTTGGAGCACTGACTGCTCTTCCAGAAGACCCAGGTTCAATTCCCAGCAACCACATGTCAGCTCACAACTGGGGATCTGACACCTTCACACCAATGCATGTAAAATGCACATAAAGTTAAATAAATTATTCTTAAAGGTCATGTTAAAAAAAGGAATTTAAGATTTGTTTATGGTCCAAAATGTTGGGATTTTGATGGGGTTTATACTGAATTTACTACGGTACTCTGCACAGTGTGAACATTTTAACAATATTCTCTTCTAGTCTGTGAACATAATGTCTTCTGTTTATTCATGTTTAATTTCTTCCAGAAACGTCCTGTGACTGTCAGGATATAGGCCCTCGGTCTCTTTGGTTCAGTTTATTCTTAAGTGTTTTTAATGCTGTTACTTTAACTTACCTTTGGGGTCGTTCATAGGTTTAGACACAGTGACTTCTATATTTTCTTTTACAACTTGATGAATTTATCAACTCTAAGTTCTTGCTTGTGGGACTCCTAACATTTCTTACACGCAAGATGGTGGCATCTGTGAAAATAATTACCGCTGGGTGGTGGTGGCACACGCCTTTAATCTCAGCACTAGGGAGGCAGAGGCAAGTGGATCTCTGTGAGTTCGAGGCCAGCCTGGTCTACAAGAGCTAGTTCCAGGACAGACACCAAAGGAAAAAAAATACTTTGCTTGGTTTTTTTATTAAAAGATTTAGAATTTTTTTCCTTTTCATGTGTGGGTATTTTGTCTGCATGTATATCTGTGCACCATGTGTGTGCAGTGTCTGTGGAGGATGTCAGAGTCCCCGGATATGGAGTTACAGATAGTTGTGAACCACCATGTAGATGTTGGGAACCGAACCCAGGAGCCCTGCAAAAGCCAGAGTGCTCTTGACGTCTGTGTCATCTCTCCAGCCTGGCCTGATGGCTCTGTCTGGGACTCTAGTGCTGTGTTACTGGATGTGACATGGGTGGGTATCTCCACCTTGCTCCTGATCTTAGAGGGAAAGCTCGAGACTTTTCACCCCTGAGTATGAATGATACTAGCAGCGGACTTTTCATGTAGGGCCTTTATTGGGTCGAGGTCATTTCCTTTCACTGTGAGTTTCCAGAGCAATCCTTTTTCTTCCTTCCCTCCCTCCCTCCCTCCCTCCCTCCCTCCCTCCCTGCTTGCTTTCTTTCTTTCTTTCTTTCTTTCTTCCAAGATAGGATCTCATATATCCCTGGCTGTCCCGGAACTCACTCTGTAGACCAGCCTGGCCTCAAACTCACAGAGATCTGTCTGCCTCTGCCTCCCGAGTGCTGGGAGTAAAGGTGCGTGTCACTACTCCCAGCAAGAATCCTCTCTTGGCCTCCCTTGCTGCACACTTGGACTGTGCCATATTCCTAGCTCCATGGTGACATCAACCCCAGGTGACCCTGCATCCAGAGTCACAGACGCCTATGACTCTATATCTTCTCTCAAATGGAAAGATCTAGAGGGCCAGAAGGAGGCCAGATTCTTCTTTCAAGTCTTCCTGGTGACACATTCGCACACAGGAGGCTCTCTTTCAACATCTACTCAACTGCAGCCTAGCATTCCTTGATCCCCTTCCTTCACTCTTTATTGTCTTGCCCTCTCTGTGAGAGCCTGCCACACTGTCTGGCACAAAGGTTTTATCCCGTGCCATGTGTTTGAAATGCATCAGGACTCTGGAAGTCTCGCTTATAAGAGTGTTTTCCAAAGTAACAAACTTCAGTTGTGAAATCAGCCCAGAGTCAAGGTGCATAAACACGTGAACTGGGCTGACTGAAGGACCCTCCGTGGAACAGGGGGTCAGAGGAGCCAAAGCACCCTTCTCTCTTCAGTCTCTCCCTGGGGCAGGCTGCATCTTGGGTGGCTGTCAGAGCCACGGCATCTGCTACCAGCCAGGCATGCTCTGTCCTTGGATTCACTGGTGAACTCTCACTGAAGTGCTGGGCCATGAGTGTTGAGGGATGAGTCGCTTTTGCCATTCTTCTGCCATCTCAAACCCGAAGCAAGGAGAATCCGCCTTAGGGCCCTTCATGGCCAGTGTGGGAGGAGAGATCAACTTGGTACTTGCCAGTGTCCCTCTGGGTGTCCCTTGCCTCTTATTACATTTACTGCCCTGCTCTTCCTCTGAAAAACAGACCCGGCTCCGGAGAGGTCCTTTGGTCTCGGCTGTGTCTGAACTCAGAGGCCTGGGCACAAGTTTTTCACCTGCTCGGGTTCCTGACCATGCAGAGCTGCAGAGTTCTAGAAAGAGTAGGTTTCTGCTGATGCAGAAGATGCTGCTGGACATCTAAGACGGAAAGGTCTGAAGACCTTTTAGGCCATGAGAAGGCCAGCCAAAGGGCAACATTGGCACTGTCCACTGTCTTGGCAGGGCAGAGTTCAGGAGATGTCTGCTCACTGGCCTGTCACTCTGGCTTGAATAAAACAGGGACACAGGGAGGAGGGGCTTTAGAAGCAGGTCTTATGTTCCCTGCAGGTCGCAGAGGCAGCCCCTTACCCTCCTTCCCTCTTTGCCCCCTCACTGGCTCTTCTATCCATCCCTCTGCCTCTGGCCCAGACACGCCCATCCTTGACTGTTCTGTGGTATTTTCCTGTTTTCTTTGCTCTCGATGTAAAGGAACTGTGTGGGCAGTGGCTCCGGGTCCTGAAGCCCACACTTCCTTTGGTGACAGTGAATGATGACATCTGAAACTCAAAAACACAAAGCCCAGCACTGCCTGTACCTTTCCAGTTCGTCCCAAAGGCTGTCCCCAGGCCTGGGGGCATGGCTCCGTCATAAAATGCTCACCTGGCTGATGAGGACCTGGACCAGTTCTCTGGAAACATACATGTGGTGGTGGGTAGGGTGGACACATACACACACACACACACACACACACACACACACACACACACACTGATGCTCCCGCCTCCATTCCGTCAGCTCCCCTCCTGCACCCCTTTTGTCTCACTGCACCTTGAACTCCTCTACTGTCCCCACAGCCCCTCATGGCCTGGTCCTCCTCTTCCCATCATGACTGCCCACCCTCACTGCTCCACCCTGGCAGGGACTCTCAGTGAAGACTACCCTGGAACCAGGCATGCCTGGTTCAGAAGGATCTGGTGCCCCCTCCCTGCTAGAAACTCCCTGGCCCCACCACTGGGCTTCATGTCTCTTCATGCACCCACACACAGGACCTTAGTGGGGTCTAGACATTGGGATGGTGTTAGCACCTGGTGAAAAAGTCAAGCCGTGCTCAGGAAGACAGGCAGGTCCCAGATGTGAACATGCAACTGGCCTCTCACTGGCTCTGTCTGATTCCTGCCTGCTTTCGGGGACTCTCCATTCTCCTCCTGCAGGTAAAGGTACCAGGCCCAGGAGTGTAGCAAAGTATCTGCTTCAAGACAGCTCAGGAGACCTCAGACTCACCTTTCAGAGGGCTTGCCTAGGTATCATCCCAGATAGACCTTTCCTCTCTCCTCCCTGGGGAGTCCCACTGAGACAGACCTAGATCCTGACCCAGACATTGTCCCCAGAGCACCTTGAAGTAAAGCTTCTATGGTCATCATTCCCTGAGGTAGCATGACAAACGACTATTGCTTTATTAAACTGGCCCCTTAGGCAAGCCCTGAGGCCTCTGGATCTTAATCTCTTTATCTGTTTGATGGGTCCATATGTATCTTTCCTGCCTCACAGAATAACTAACCGGAGAGGCAGGGGTGTGGCTCAGTGGGAGACACTTGCCTGGTATGTATGAGCACTGAGTTCTATCCATAGCACTGCAAAAGAAAAAATAACATTGATAGTAAGAGGCTACAACAGGAAGCAGACTGATCTCTATGTAAGTGACTTCCTATCAAGGAAATTTGAGTTCGGGGCTCCATTCTACCACCAACTTGCTGCGTGTCCATAGGCAGATGCCTTGCCATCCCTCTGCTCCTCTGTGAAATCAGCAAATGGTGTAAGATCATTCCTGAGTCCCCTTCTTTTCCTGCTCCATCATTCCGTGATCCGGGTGTCAATTTGAAAGCCCCAGAGAAGTTTCTTTCCGGGAGAAAGAAATCTTTTCCTTCACTGCAAAATGCTGTTGAACCTAGTGCATAATGCTTTCCGTCTGACCTGTTAGAAATTATGGAAAATGGTGCAGTGCAGTTGGGGAGCCGAGGTGCAGCACTCCCGGGAGGCGTGTTCCACTGAGTCTGTCTACCCTCTCTGTCACCCTGATAAGGCTGTCTGCTAACTTGGGGAAATACTGCCAGGTCTGGCAGCTCTTTCTGAAATGATTTCCCTGGGCTGATGTAAAAGCCCATAGTGGGAACCACAATCACACGCACATCCTGTTTGCATTTCTTTGGGCACGACTGAGTGTCCCCTTGTGGTCCCTCTTGGTCTGAGGGCTGTGCAGTACGGGCAGATTGGGGGGGGTGCAGCTCCTCACTAACCACAGAGGGAGTCAGCAGTGTGCTCACCTCCTCCCTCCACAGTCCTGAGCAGAGGATGGTTACTCTGCCACAGGGCCTGAGTCCCATGGAAGGCTCTAGCAATAGCGACTGGCAGTGGCCACAGCTGCCGACCTACCGAAAAGAAGTAGAAATGGGAAAGAGGTGCTCCAAAGACTGATGTGTAAAAGACATCCTTAGCTCGTGCCTGTAATTCCCATTCTTGGAAAGCTGGGGCAGAAGGTTACACATAAATGTTAGGACGGTTTGAGATACATAGTGAGTTCTGGGAGGGAGGGAAGGAGGGAGGGAGGGAGGGAGGGAGGGAGGGAGGGAGGGAGGATGGATGGGCAGGCAGGTAGGCATGCATCCTTTGTACACAGGTCTGGGATGTGGTACCCTCTGATCACCTCTAGGTCTGTGAAATCATCATTCAAACATCATGGCCAACAGGATGTCTCCTGGCAGTTCTTTCAGACCGGCTCAACTGTGTGCCATGTGCCAAGCACCATCTGAGCAGCCTTATGAGTGTGGTGGGCGCAGCTATTCTTGTCTTGTAAATGAGGACACTGAGACCTGGAGAACTGCAGGGCGGCTCCTCTGAGGTCAGGAAGCTCCTCCCTGAGGCCGGTCCCAGCAGGTGCCAAGACCCAGACTCTCCAGGGGGTTTTCTGATGCCTCTGCCAACATGCCTCCCCTCCTCAGGGTCAGGGAAGGGAACTCTGCATGCAGAAGAGAAACTCCCTAGGGGTGTTCTGAGCTTCGGGCTGAGGGCCATGGAAAGGTAACCGGGAGCTTTGTGACAAAACAAAGAACAATGCACGTCAGCTGTGACTCAAGGGAGCAAGGGGGACAGGCTAGACAAGAGCGTCCAGGGCTGGAAGGGTCTCCAGTCCCTCCAGGCCTGGAGGAGAAGCAAAAGAATTAGGGTAAACAGAGGAGAGTGTTGGGCTCATGGCTTAGGAGAGAACTCCGACATCAGTTCTTCATAGGAATGAGGATCCCCTCTGATCCTATTATTTTATACATGGGGAGACAGATCCAGAAAGGGGAGGCAGGAGGCTCTCAGCAGACATACACTTTGTAGGAGCTGGAGAGATGGATTAGAGACTATGAGCACTGGCTGCTCTTCCAGAGGACCAGGGCTCACTTCCTAGCACCTACAAGGATGGAGGCTCACACCCTTCTGTAACTTCAGTTCTAGGGAATCTCATGCCCTCTTCTGGTCTTTGGCATCAGGCATACACACACAGTGCACAAACATTCATGGAGGCAAAACATCCACATATATAACATTTTAAAAAAAAATGAATGCTACACTCTATGGTCAGTGCGTGAGCTCCCTTGAATGCACATGAACTTTCGCATGAACTGTGCATGTGTACATTTCATGTGCACATTCACACACGTGAGCTATGTGTGAATCTGAGTCTGTGAACTGTATGTCTCAGGCCGGAAGGGTCAGGGAAGCACTCACACACCTTGTTTGGATAAAATGTTGCAGGCTTTTTTATCCTGTTAGGACACAAATTCCCACTTCCAGTTCCTAGCTCCTTCTGCTGCTTCTGGCCGTCTCAGCATCTGTGATCGTGACAAGAGCTTGTCCCACTCTGGGAAGCTGATGAAGGGACCCAAGTGTTCTCACTGTGGGAGGAATTGCTGTATTGAAAGATCAGAACCCAAATCGGGGCACTGGGGTGCAGGAGATGACCTTTCTCCCTGGCAGTCTGTCCCCTCCCTCTCTCCTAGTCCTTTCTAGGGAGGATCGTGTTCAGGACTTAGGGGCATACAGCATTGTTCTATGGGGTGTTATAGGGCAGCTGTGCACACAGCCCTGGGAGAAGACGAAGGTGGATGCGGATGGGAACCCCCCAAGTGATGACCGGAGGGACCACAGAAGTGGGGACAGGCTATGTTCCATTTCCAGGCCCCACCTGGGGCAACCAGCCTGAAGATGGAAAATCTGACATCAAGGTTGAGAGAGAACCTTGGCTTTGGTCAAGTGGATCTGGATTCAAATCTCTCTTCTCTCACTTAACCACTGCTGAGTAAACTTCTAGGCCTCTCCCTCTACCCAGGGAGAATGTAACAAATGCCTCCAGTACGGCAGGTACTGAAAAGTGGTCACAACCCTGAGAGAGATCATTAGCCAGAGGATCCAGGCTAATCCACAGGGCCATGCCAAGAAACGGGTGATCAGAGTAGCCGCTGGCAAGGGGGTTTCGATGAGGATTGAAGTGGGTACACCTGACTGCAGCGAGCCTGCCAGCTGTCAGCCACACAGGGTGGCACGTGCCATCCGGCACTGAGCGGGCTGGAGCAAGAGAATCGTCATTTTGAGACAAGACCAGGTAGCATGAATTGACCCTGTCTGAAGAAGAAAGAATGGACGAGTAAAAGCCAGCTGTCATTCACCCCGTTCCGGATTTTTCAAGGGCGTCTCATAGAACTGAAACATTGGAACAATTAATATCTTGATATTTGCCCTGTCACGTAGGTTTTCAGAGCATTCCCACATGCAACCGCTTCTCTGGGTCTTCGTGAAGGCATGGAGCCCATGACTTCGGTGTTGTGTTTTAGGATTAGCCTTGACTAGGCAGTGGTGCATTAACTATAGGCCCAGCACTAGGAACGTGAAGGCAGGAAGAAGAGTTCAAGCCATCTTCCACGACCTATCAAGCTTGAGGCCCGTTCAAAAAGAAATTTTGCCTTTAAAAAATTAACTTTGCAAGTAGATGCTTTATTTTCTCCAATTTCTTGGAAAAGAGAGTGGAGATTGAATCCGTAGTAAAATTCCCCTGGCTCATCCACTCTCCGCAGCTGTGACAAGGAGGGGCTGGGGAACACCGTGGGCCCCCGGGACAGGAGTTTGTGGACACCGGGAATCTCAGCGGTTCCCCAGCTTCCTGGCCTCAACCGGCTGAGCAGTGCTCCAGGAGGCCTTCGCATCCGCTGCGTGACCGACCCTCCTGGGCCAGCCGCCAGAAGGGTTAGTGGCGCTGGTAGGCGCCAAGGCCAGAGGACTCCTAGGGGACCCGCCCAGGGACTACACGTCCTTCCCACCTTCCCATCCAGCCCACGCTCCAGCATCCCGGACGGGGTCTGGGCCCGCCTTCTCTGGACAGGAGCCAGCGGCCACTGGGCAGAGAGCCGCCTTTGCCGGCCGCTCTTCCCACTCCTAGCCTGGGGGAGTCCACCGCGGACCCCATAGGGAGTTGAGCCACAAGCACCCTCCCCCACCACACTCCCTCGCCAACCAGCCAGGCAACTCCTGAGAGGCTGTCCCCGACCCAGGCAGCTGGATGAGGAGATGTCAGCTAAAGAAACTGAGAAAGTAAGCAGCCAGGACCAGAGTTACAAACTGAATCTCCAGGTTAAAGTGGGGCCCCCAGCCGGCTCCACAAGTTGGCTTCGCAGCTGAGGGTGTGGGTGGTTTCCCTTGCCTGACTCATCGGCCTGCATCCTTCCACGTACTCTGCAGGTGGCTTAGGTTCAAGGTCTCTGAGGACCTCAGCTAGGTGTGGTCCAGTTAGTTCTTGTCAGGGAATGAATGTATATAGGAGCAGCTCGCATTTCCCGCCTCATGGTCTCCAAGACTAAAAAGAGACATGGAAGAAGAGAAAGCCCAAAGTGTTATGACCCTTTCCCCAGGCAGGAAGGGTTCCTATGGCAGCCGACTGTCTGACTTTGTTAGGTAATTGTACAGGTCTGTTAGTCCCCTGCCTGTGGCCTCTCTGTCACTACTGTTGCTGAGGGAGAGGCACAGCCGCCTGCCCTTGACATAAGAAAGCCCTTTCATCCTAGATCCAGTCCCTTCTCTCTGCACCAGACTCCAGTTTGTAAAACTCTTCAAAGATCTCTCACATTGGGCCAGCAGTGGTGGTGCACGCCTTCAATCCCAGCACTCGGGAGGCAGGGGCAGGCGGATCTCTGTAGGTTCGAGGCCAGCCTTGTCTACAGAGTGAGTTCCAGGACAGGCTCCAAAGCTACATAGAGAAACCCTGTCTCAAAAACCAAGAAAAGAAAAAAAAAAAAGATATCTCATTATCTCATACTGGGATAGTGTATTGACTCAAACCACCTGGTCTGAGTCCTGCCTCTCACACTTAGTGGTTAGGTGGCTTTGTTTCTGCGTTTGGTCTGTGAAATGGGTCAATACTGAAACCACTCAGCTGGGTTAGTGTGGAGAGGAAGAGGCAGAGGCAGGTACAGACACTGAGCCCCTGTGTCTAACAGAAGCCCTAGCATTTCAGAATGTTCTGCAGGGTTGGCCTTCTGCGGCAGACTCCGGTGTGTGTGAACAGCCCTATCATAGCAATGCTGCTGGGGTTCAGGGAACATTCCAGCAATCTGGTCTTAGAGCAGAGGTGTATAACCTCGACCCTGCAGGAAGGCTGCTGAGAGGCCGGGATGGGCGATGGCTCCGCTGGCGAAGCGCTCGCTGTGCCTGCACAACAACCGGATTTAAGCCCTAGTACCCATCCTAGTTCCCATGTTTGGAAATAACATTCTGGCCGGATGGGGGTGGCGCACGCCTTTAATCCCAGTACTCGGAAGGTAGAGGCAGGTGATCTCTGAGTTTGAGGCCAGCCTGGTCTACAGAGTGAGTTCCAGGACAGCCAGGGCTACACAGAGAAACCTTGTCTTGAAACAAACAAACAAAAATTCTGGACAAAGTGATGAATGCCCGCAATGCTAGGACTGAGCAGATGGAGACAGGAGGATCCCTGGGGTGTGCCGGTCAACCAGTCTAGCCAAATTGATTAGTTCAGTTTCAGTGAAGGACCCAAAACTCAAAAACTAAGGTAGAAGGTCAGTGAGATGATTCAGGGAGTAGACACACAGAAGAACCCAACAGACTAGGGGCCGTCTCTGGAACCACACAATGAATGGAGCGCCCCAACTCCCAAGAGTTGGCCTCTGACCCCACCACTACTCCAGTGTTGACTTCTGGCCTCCATGCACACACATGTATACATACACATACGGGCACACAAACATGAGTATTCATGCACGCACACGCACACACAAAGGTTGCCGAGTTTCCCATCCTGCTTCTGGGAGTTTCTGATGTAACAGGGATTTCAATTGAAGCTGCTGCTGCAGGTCCCAGTGATGGGCAGCTCTCCCTTTCCCTGTCTCACCACTGAGTGCCCTGACCAGACCAGGCATGGGGCCCAGGGCCAGAATACCAAATACCCAGAATGCCCTGGAGGCAGGCTGGGGCTAGAGCCTTCAAACAGCCCAGCACAGCTTCACGTGCCTTGGGACTAAACATATTTCTAAGGGACAAGATGCTAGAAGAATTAGGGACACCATAGCTTCTCAGTGTACTTTAAAAATGAGAGAGGACAGAGGATGCTGCCCAGATGTTCACAGACTAACCGAAGGGAACTGGAGCCCCCACCTCTGCTCATTCGCGTCTCCCCCATTTGGGGCCTTCTCTTCGCAGATAACCAGGAGAATGGGGGAAAGCCGGAAGGCGGCAGCAAGGCCCGGAAGGAAAGGACCGCCTTCACCAAGGAGCAGCTGCGGGAGCTAGAGGCCGAGTTCGCCCACCATAACTACCTGACCAGGCTCCGTAGATACGAGATCGCCGTCAACTTGGACCTTTCCGAGCGGCAGGTGGGGCCCGCTCGCTTTTCTGTTCACCTCCCTTCCCGCCTTCCCGATCGCCCCTACCTGGACCCCCTTGCTTGCCTCTATCCAG